TTTTTTTTTTTCTATTTAATATTAGTATTAGTATTTTTTTGTTGATTTTTCTACTTTTTTATAAGAAGATGTTATCAGATTGATAATATTCTATTGTAGGCAGTAGTCTGATAATGCTTTCTGAGATAGATACAGTTTCTATTTTGAAACTTATTGGGATGTATTCAAATAGATATATCTGCTTAGTGCAGCTGGTTGCCTATAAGTGCTCTCAAAGTAACTGCAATCTATTAGATTCAAATTATTAGATATGCTTTGCTACACCTTTTGCTCTATCTGGTAAATATAATAATACTGGCAAGATAGTTAAAGTAAAAAAATAATTATATATTTGAGTAGAAATTTTATTTTCAAAATTTATTAATGCCTTTGCTAAAGATACTATCAACTTATGATAATTAGACAATATCATTTATATATTGCTTATATTATATCTGACCAAGAAAAATTTTTAAAAAATTTATTCTTTATTAATGCAAATTCTTAAATAATAATTCTATTTTTCAATTATTACAACTATTGTACTACCATCTTTGGTCTATACTATTAATCATACTTACTAAAATCATATATATTATATTTACTTAATAAAATCTACACAATGTTAAAATAATGTAAGTATTAGAATTATTAAAAGAAGTATTTAAATTTGAGTATGATAAGTTAACAGCTTGTAAAAGTTTTTTCAAAATCTAACTTATCTTAAATATACTGATTGTTCTTTTTTATTCAATTATTTTTCTGCATTCAATACTTGTATATTTGGTGTTCTAAGTCAAATGCGCCAAATTTGGGTCTATACAAATGCTTTTTAACCAATCAGGATACATTATATACTAAATGAATAAAAAAAATTAAAAAAACTTTTTAAATTTTTTATATTAAATGCAAAAATTTAAAAAATAGTAGCTTCAAGCACTTATAACTTTAAATTTTAAACTTTTTTTAAAAATTTTGACCGATAATTCAGATAAAAAAACAATAGTTTTTATTGGTTACATTTTTTAAAAAATATTTAAAACTTAAGATTTTATAGATTTCTTAAAAAATACATGGTTTTTATAAGAAGTAATTTGGAGCACCATAGCTAATATAGATAGTAATAGTAATAAATAACGAAGACTTTCGCTTAAAGTAAAGTTCTTGAGAATGCTGATTATTCTTTGATTATTTTGCAAAGTGTATATAGACGTTCTTTTGAAATTAGAAATGGTCTTTACAGGGATTTTTTGTTGGTGAAACGTTAAGTTCTCAAAAAGCACTTTAAACTGTATAAATAAGTTACCTGGGCAATTGCCAAACATACGAATGTTTTCCTATGAGTCTGAAACCCATTTAGGAGCCTAAGACCTCGCTTGAATGTCCGAGACTCCCGAGACCACCGTTACCCCTGAATGTTAAGATGTATAATATAGCTTGTCTAGTAAACTAGGAAATCAGGGCTTAATAAAATTCTGAAGCAAAAAATCTTAAATATTAATTAGAGGATTATGTGTAATGAAAATTACAATACAAATCATACCTCAAACTTTGCGTATTATCCAGGAAATTATCATAGTATTAATGTCTGTTACGTATACAGTAGCATCTTAACAGAAAATTTAAATTCTATTGGACAGAGCCACCTAACATTGCATAGATGCGCATTCATTTTGCTTCTATCCTAAGTGACCTCGATACGCTTCAAACAATAAAACTCTTTATTACTCTGCTCAAGTAATAAATACAATAAATAAGTGATCCTTGACTTTGAACTTGCACTTATTAACTACTACGTATCCTCAAGTAATCTACATATGTAATCTGAAACAACCTAATATGAACCTCAAATAACAAACATACATACGTACGTAATCTAAAGCAACCTAATTCGATCAGAAACCCGAAAAATATAACACGTGACCAGTATATAAACAAGATATCAACCTGTAACCGCATACCGAGATTCAATATACATATTCCAGATCGACCGTATAACCCATATAAGGATAAACTATCGCTCCAATTTGAGTGGCGTGCAGCACCATTGTTCGACAACAGCAATATAAATCCCTAACTAGGAAAACACACCAACGACCGTACGTTATGTCTGTGGACCAGTACAAGATCTGCAATTATAACAAAAGCTCTCCCAGGTCCATAACAAGGCGCATGTACTCAAAATACCACGTAGATGAGCGTTATTTCACGAAAAGACGGTAGTACTTGATCGATAGTCCCGATTAGGGATGGGCCGCTGCGCAGGCATTTTTGAGAGATTGCGCAGTGCAATTTTTATAATTCAGGCCAGCTGGAATAATTCTGGTCAGCTTTATAACGCAGGCTCGAATTAACCAACCGGAAAATCATTCCGGATTAGCCCGAAAACACGGAGGATTTGTATCACCTGATTAGTTCATAATTCTG